TCAGAGTGACCCTCGGTGTGGTCGGACAAATTCAGCCTGGCGAGGCGTGTTCTCCCCAAAGATGGCAGGTGATCCCGCTCGGGGAGTGCGCTTGCCAAAATCAATCGGCTCGGCGAGTCCACTTCCGCGGGGCGTAGAAGAACGGGTCGGAGTTGTGTGGCCCGACTCGTCCGACCATCCATCATGCACGTTGACCGTGTCCACCTCCTTGGCGTTGGCGGCAGGAACACTATCCCATGGAAGGTGGCCGTCCAAGGTCGATTCGGACAAGGAATGGCGGTGGTGCGTGCTGCCATAGGCATTGCTCACACCATGACGATCCGCACCATCCCTATTAGGGCCCGTATAATAGCAGAACCTGCAACCAATCAATACCATATCATTAAATGATAACCGTTACTCACCTCTGCAAAAAGGTATTATAGTCAAAGCTATTGACACCCGCTTGACCACCAGCAACTTGCTGAATGCTCTTTACACTATCGCTCAACTCGGAGGGAGACGATGGGCTCTGGGAAGGACTCGAGGCAGACGTGAACGAAGGCGTGCTCGTCATACTCGACATGGATCCTTGCGGGCTATTCAACCACGACGGCTGAGGAACCGTCAACGACGCGGGACTTGTCGTCGTGGCGGGAGTGGCAGCGGGAGAAGACGAGGTGGTGGAGAGGTGGCTGCGATCCATGGGGTACGAATTGAACCTGAGCGGGCGCGCCTGCTCATTCAAAGCGTCATTCAAAAACGCTCCATCCCTCGAGATGATAATGGACGAGGACGAAACAGAGCTATTGCTCTCGCTCTCGGACGACCCCTCGGTGCTCTCTTCGGTAACGAGCACACTGGGTGGCTCGGGTCCATTGGCGGGAGAGGCCTTGTCAGGGGTGACCGTCGCACACGAATCCACACTCGACGAAGCCGTCATCTCTACACTCTCCTTGTTGGCAGACAGAGAACCAGTGGTAGGCGTCATGATGGCACCCGTGCTCGCCCTTCGGTCCATGTACGAATCGAAATATCCTCCACCACGAGTATGATTCCTCGGCCTCGCCACGGGTGCAGCCGTATTGTGGGGCGCAGCAC